TATTTCTCGATTCTCTCTCTCCTGCGATCGATAAAAGAGAGAATTTTCACCTTTTCATTTCCTATAAATATTTTAGCTTTCTTGTTTCTTGAGAAGAATTGAGAGAGGTCGCTTCTTTTTTATACTTGTTCTAAAGCGGAAAGTTGAAGCCGGAGGATTGAGGGACACTTCCCGGCATTGCAGTTGGGCCACTGTTTAAAAAGCCCGTTTGGCCGCTTCATATATTCGGTCTAGCTATGGCTGGCATTGCATTCCACCTACAAGCTGAAGATTTTGCAAATATGTATAAATTTTAACTTAAATATTTATTTCAGATTTTTATTCAAAAAGAAATATATATATATATATTATACATTTATTTATTTTAATGATATGTCTTTTATTTAAAGTATAAAATTTGTGAATTTAAATTTTAGAGTTTAAAGTTCAAATAAATAAAATAATATAATTAAAGATTTAAATTTTAAAGTTTAAATAAATAAAAATATATAAATTAAACAGTAAATTTAAATATATGTATATAAAAAATTATCTCAGATTATTTAATAAATTATAAAAATTATAAAAATAATATCTTAAAAGATAAACATATTTACATATTATAAATATATATTAACAAAACAAATTGAACAAACGGATGTATGTATAATGAATTTTAATTTTAGTTATTCAATGAAACATAACTAATTATATTTTGACTCTTTATGAAAATTAATATCTAATTGATATAATATATTGTACAAACCAAATTACTTCAGTAATAAAATGAATAATAGTTATTTTTAAAAGTATAGCACTAGAGATCGTAAAAGTGATCGAATTTCATTGTCAAATAATTTAGTATCTTTAGAATACATAATATCTCATAATCATATTAGATTAATATATATATATATATAATATTGATTTTTTAAATATTGACCTCCTTGCGTTACCAACAAATATAGCCCCGCTCACCTGCCTTTCTTTCCATCTTCCAAACATTCATTTTCTCTTCGTTTCTCTCTCATCGACTGCCTTTCCCAAACGGTACGGTGGCCCATCGTTTTCGTTTACCTTTCCGATGCGTTAGATTTGTTATTTGCTTTCTTCATTCATTGCAGTTTTGCGATCTACCACTGTTTTTTTATTATATCTAATTTCCAATTCTATCATTGTTTTTCTTCAACACTATATTTAGATCTGTCTCGTCGACATCGAGGAGACAGTTCAATGTGATTCGCTTTCCTTTTCTTTTTCTTATCTATCAGTTAGGGGAATCTGAAGTAAAATATTTGTTGAATTAACTCTGGTAGTTTGCCCCTTTTTTCACTCTTGAATGTTTATTAATGTAGAATTTTACAATTATCATTAATGAGGGGATAAAAGAAATCTAGTAATTTTAATGTAAATTGTTTTTCTGCATTAAATGTGTTCATAAGTTGATCCAGATAGGGAAAACAAACATTATTGTAGAACTCAAAATCATTAGTTGGAGTTGAGTTGAATTCGTGTTGCGCCACCATCGTCACAAAAATATGAAGTAGGTCTGCGAACAAACGTATCTTTGTTACATTCATGTTAGAATAGGAGTTTCTTTTCAGCATGTCCTTTTGGACTTTTCATACTAGCATTTTTAATTGTGGTTTCAATAGATTTGCAGTTCTTCGGGTTTTTTCTTATCTGTTGCTATTGTTTTGTAGGATTTGTTGCTGCATTGTTGGAAACTCTTGGACAATATTTGAACATGGATGGATTACTTGAAAAACGTTGAGTGATATATGATTTGGGGTTATCTCTTGCAAAAAATTATAAGATGGCTCCAACTAATAAGGCAGATAGAAAAGCAGTTGTAGATATGGCTGCATGGACGTTCAATGTTGTCACTTCTGTTGGAGTTATTATTGTCAATAAAGCCTTAATGGCTACTTATGGTTTCAGCTATGGTAAATTCCTTTTAAACACTTTTTAATTGCTCTCCTTTTCTCCTTTTATGCTATAAACAACTAGTCATGCTGTGTCCAGTTCTAGTTCAGTTGAATTTGGAAAGGTCTGTCAAATTCTCTAAACTATATAGAATCAGAGTGGTAAGCTACAGTGAAATCTGCCATGAAATGAAAAACAGTTGAGAATAGTTCGCTTAGTTGAGTGATGCTGTAACGGTTCTGAGTATTATAGTGGAATGGTTTTAAAATTTTGAAAATTGAGTTTGTGGAGTAATAAAGCTGGAGATAAGATGAGTGATCTTGCAGAAAAAAAAAGCTTTAGGACTGGCCTTATGATACAGTGAAATGAACATGATGTTCAAGCATAAAATATATTTGTAGGTTTGTCGGGGTTGTAAATGGTGGAGAAGGTCAATAGCTTGAGGTATGATGACCTTCTCCACCCGTCCCTCTCCGTTTAACATGTTCTGGAATAAGAAATAGATTGAAATTGTGGAAAACAATTCAAAAAAGAAAGCATTATCAAAAGTAGAGATGAAGAGGAAGCCATGACCTGGAAGTTGGAAGGAGGGGGGGAGCCAGGGACTAAATGTAGGATGATTGTTATGCTGGTTTTTGTTACCTCATAAGTATTCTGATTATGCTTACTGCAATAAGGATGTAATAAACTACATTAATTCCTTTGTGTTTGTTTGCAAATTGTTCCAGCCACAACATTAACTGGTTTACATTTTGCTACCACAACCTTGATGACGGCTGTTCTAAGATGGTTAGGATACATTCAACCCTCTCATCTCCCCTTGTCAGAGCTTTTGAAATTTGTCTTGTTTGCGAACTTCTCTATAGTTGGAATGAATGTTAGTCTGATGTGGAACTCTGTGGGATTTTATCAGGTAAACTTCAGCGTTTGAAAAGTTTAACTAGTTGTGCTTTTGAGATGATTTGGAAATCACAGATTCTCTAATTAAATGACAGATAGCAAAACTGAGTATGATTCCTGTATCCTGCTTTTTTGAAGTTGTGATGGACAAGTTTCGATACTCCAGAGATACAAAGCTGAGCATAGTTGTTGTTCTTTTGGGAGTTGGGGTTTGTACTGTCACTGATGTCAGTGTTAATACCAAAGGTTTCATATCTGCCTTCATTGCAGTTTGGAGTACTTCTCTGCAACAGTATGTAAGTTGTTGATCCTTTGCATATAAATTTATTCTTCTATTGTTCCAAATTGATCTACTTTTTACAAGGTAGTTACTTGTATATTGTTGTGTATTTCTACAGTATGTTCTTCACCTTCAAAGAAGGTATAATCTTAGTTCCTTCAACCTACTAGGACATACTGCTCCTGCACAGGCTGGAACACTGTTGCTATTAGGTCCATTTGTGGATTATTGGTTGACAAAAGAGAGTTGATGCCTATAGTTATAACCTAACATCTGTGGTAAGTATTCTATCCATTTGTTCTCTTTGCTTTATGAGTTTTTGTGCTTGGTGATTGTACTTGTTGTTCCTTTCATTATAGAACAAGGATAGGCTAGATTTACTTTCGGACTTGCTCATATTCATGAATGTGCATAACTAAATTCATCAGTTATGTCTCTGGCTTGTGACTTACGGATATATTTAATTTGTGTCGCATATGGTGTTACCATTGCTTTCATATCTGCATGCATCTCCCCATACCACTTAATGCCGTATCTGTGTCTTAAGTCTCCGGAAACATCTATCCACTAAATGAATTTAGGCATGTGTAGTGGAAATGAGTTCATTGTTGGAGAAATCAATTTTAGTGTGATTTATAATATGTAGCGCATATCAACAGAGATATACACTCCTTTCTCTCTTTGGGTGCTGTATTAACATTGACCCACCTTGATAAAATGTTGAATTACTTTCTTGCAACGTGCCATCTTTGGTGCCGGTCTCTTTCCCGGATGCAGCAATTATGCATATGCCTATTATTTATAACGATGCACTTGATCCCAATTAAAGCATGTTCCAGGAAATAGTTGCTCACGGCTGTTTTACTTTTTGGTCTTTGCAGATGTTCATAATTCTTTCATGTACTATAGCAGTAGGAACAAACCTCAGCCAGTTCATCTGCATTGGCAGATTTACTGCAGTGCCCTTTCAAGTACTCGGCCATATGAAGACAATCCTCATGTTGATTATGGGATTCATTTTCTTTGGAAAAGAGGGTCTCAACCTTCATGTGGTTCTGGGCATGATCATAGCTGTGGCTGGAATGATTTGGTATGGAAGAGCTTCATTTAAACCTGGTGGGAAGGAGCGGCGGAGCCTTACTCTCCCTACCAGCAGACAACAAAAGCACGGCAGTTTCTCGGATTCTAATGAACACGAAGATAAAGTCTAGTTCTCCATGTAGGATAATTTAAGCATATTGGGTTTTCTCTGAGGTCACTTACAAATAGGATTAGATACTTTTTTTGGGGGGGGTGGGTTTGGCGGTTTTATTTTTTCCATTTCAGGAATATAATTTATTTACATTTTTTCCGTGCCTTCTATTCAATTACTTCAAAACCTTACCTTCTCTTGAGAGGTTCAAATCAGTATTCGGACGACACAATGAGATATAAATTACAAAGAGTACGACTCCTGTCATCATTGGCACCCACTGGAATCGTATTATCAAATCTTCAAAATCTAATATCACCAATAAAAGTATCAAAACAATAAATAAAATTAAAGTTTGAATATTAACTTGAGAACATAAATTTAAGAACTAACTTAAGAAGAAATGTCCAATTTAAGCATCAACTTAATTATTTGAGAAAAGATGCTTAATCCAAATTCCAAATATATGCATTTAAACCTTACTAATATAAAAATAGATGAAGAGGTAATTTGAGTTGATTAAATAATTGTATGTAGACACCAAAGACCAGCTTGAGTGGTGCGCATCCACATCCTATACTCTCCAAATACCAAATCTATCCACGCATGGTTATGATATATTTTGAAAGAATCCACATCTCCTATAGCTATAGTCTAGTGTGTGAGAGGAATGATACTACTCACATCTAAAAGGGCATGGATGGAACTATAATAGTTCAAGCTCCCAAAATTTACAACGCTTATTTGATGCATTTTTAGAGTTTAATTGGAAAATCAATGGAGCTGAAAATATTGCAAACCATGTTTAAGGGCCAAATGTGACACAAATGCAAGACACTGATTATTCAAACAAACATTTAATTGAAACGCCGCTACACTATTACTATTTGTCTAGAAACAAGAAAACCCACATTCTCTGAGAGATATATATTTCTTCAAAATAAATATGAATCCTTTAACGCTTCTTGGACACACCAACAGTCTTGCCTCTGCGACCAGTAGTCTTGGTGTGCTGACCACGGACACGAAGGCCCCAGTAGTGCCTCAGGCCACGGTGGTTCCTGCATCAGTGTATAAACAGTTAGCTGCTGTCTCATCTCATTCTACAAGACGCAGAAATTAACATACTTTTCCAAATGAAACAAAGATAAACAATTTTAGCTAAGGAACATTTATACATCTCATTCCACCACGACTAATGTTGGTAAATCATGAATATTATTTTTCATTTTCTATGGTTCTTTGTTCCATTATGTCAATTACATAGGTAGAAATGTCAAAATACGTTGTGACTTCCAGATTTCTAACCATTTGTTGGTAACTCTCTCCTCTCATCTATACAAAAACTAGGGTAAGCAAAACTCGACTAAAAAAAATCAAAATTTTCAACTCAACTCAATTTTTTTAAAATAAAGTATGAATTATAAAATAAGACTAAAATAATATGAAAATTTTAATAATTTGTGGATTAGTTTTCAATTTTGGGTCAAATCTCTCAACTTTGCATGATATATGTACATCACATGAAAAAATATGCAGAAATATATATATGTATGTCAGACATTATAGATAATCGTTTAAATTGGAATCAATTAGTACCATAACATTATAAACATTTACAATTAAATTTAAACAAAAACTCAAACAACTCGACTCACCTCAAATTTTATATGCTCGACTTGATAATTTTCTAAATAAAGTTTAAGTTATAAAATATGACTCATTAACTCGACTAACTCAAAATTGTTTGACTTGAGTCGATCAAATGCTCATCACTAACAACATCAAGGTAAAACAAAGGTTAACCTGTCCACCAACAACTAACCCACTTGCATGACAACCCAAAGGAAACATCACAAGACATAATTCAAATACAATTATACAAGTGCTGTAGAAGAGAGTGCCTCAAATAAACAGTCCAACTTATTAATTCATATGTTTGAAAATGCTAATAGTGAAAGGATATGTTATGACACTGATCATAACTCAAATAGAACAGTAAAACTCATGCTTAGACAGAGTTGATTCGATGGTATCTTTTAAATCATCACATAGTTGGCACATACAAAACAAGTTAAAAGATCAACTCTAGCTCAAATCAGTAAGAATAAAGAAGTAACCTGATCTTCTTCAGGCGCTCCAAATCATCTCTCAACTTCATGTCAAGAGCGTTAGATACAACTTGGGAATACTTTCCGTCCTTATAATCCTTCTGTCTATTCAAAAACCAGTCAGGGATTTTAAACTGTCTCGGGTTCGCAACAATAGTCATGAGATTGTCCAGCTCCTGTGCGGTCAATTCACCAGCCCTGGTAACAAGTAGTAAACCAAATAACATTAAAAAGATCCACATGCCACAAAGTCCACAACTTATACTTTACTATATACATGAAAGAAGCCTAGAAAACTAGTTAATCTAAAGTAAATTAATCACCATTCATGTAACACCCCAATTTAGGGGCTAAATTTAAGAAATTATAAAATGGTGGATTTAATTGGTATTTTTGAAAGAAACGGTGGATTAAATTGTAAAATTTCAAAGTTGACAGAAGGTTTTATAAGGCAGGAAATTCAGTGGCTAGATTCATGATTTGACCATTTTTCTTTTGGGATAAATTATAACACCCATTCCCATATGTTTTTCTGCAGATTTTCCTCTCCCGTCAACCCCTCTTTCAACTTCGTTCTACTCGTCGTCCGACCTCCGATCGACGAACCGAAACCACCATCGTGTTCATTGTCAACCGAGGAACAAAACCCCTCAAACCTTTCGTCGTGAATCGTCTCCGTTCGTCGTTAATTTCAGTCGGAAATATCGTCGGTAATAACTCGATTTCAATTGATTTTTCGTTGATTCACGACGATCCGATGATCCGTTTACGACACCTCCCGCACCATCGTGTTCCTTGCATTGTTCCGAGTCTGCCGGTGTCATCCTTGGTCTCCGTCGACGGCGGCGCATGAAGAGGTGAAGCGGTCAAAGTTTTCGATTTGTTGAAATCGAGCTCTCCGCCGTTCAAAATTTGAACCGAGCTTTGTAAGTATCTCGAAATCGCTTAAAATAAATTTTAGGAATTTTTCCGGGAATTTTCCGACATCAGGGTGCTGTTCACGCGCCGTCACTGCGCGTGAGGAAGAAAAAAATGACCGGTTTGACCGGTCATAACCCGACCTGACCCGTTGACCGTTGACCACTGTTGACTAAAACTTTGACCGGCTTTGACCGGGTATTAAACGACCTTTGACTTTGACCGAGTATACCTATCCTGACATTTTTTGACGTTCCAAATCCAATTCCGCTGTCCGTTTTTCAAAATTCGAACCCGAAGACTTCGAAATTGCCAGTCAAACCCGTTGACTTTGATTTTGACCGAAAATTCCAAATTTCTGAAATGTCATATTTTATGCTTTCGACATCTTGAATCCGAATCCGAAGTCTGTTTCGCCAAATTCGAACCCGGTAAGCTGATTTTCACTGATTTATTACCCGATTCGATCCGTTTATCGTAATTAAGCTTCGTTTTTTATATAATTTATGTTAATATGTATCTGAGGAATTATTGGAAGTTGAATTGAAGATCAAAGACGTTCGAATGGAATTTTTATAGTCGATCAGTATTACACAAAAATCGAGGTAATACTTTACTACCTCTTTATGCATTATAGAACATGTTGGTATTGGTAAATGCATGAATGGAAATGTTTGGTCTCATATGTGTAATTAATGAAGATCTACCCTAGATACGAATACGGTAGAAAGTAGGTAACTGAATATGGCTCAGATGACTATTATAAGAAATCGGAGGACAGTTGGAATTAAATTACAAGTTCTGGAATTAAGTGATAAAAGAATCAGCCATAGATATATAGATTATAATTTATTTCATTAAAAATACTTAGATGATAAATTATGAAAATATTTCGATTAGGTAAAATTACGAAATTACTCTTATGTTGGAAAATGACAAGAATTATCCCTGGAAATGGATTAATAAATCTGAAAAGAATTATTAATCTGCTAAAACTATTGATGTGCATAAGAAATGTTAGTTTTACTTGGAAATTATGGATAACGGTTTTTAACCCCAAGAAGGTTTATGCTTGATACTAGAAGTCTTTTAAGGAATCATTTCAAGATCAAAGAATGTTCGAGGAAGCAGTTAATCATAGGATATCTATATTATATTATTTTCGTTAAGAACTAATATCGAAATTATCTGGTTAAGAAATTACAAAAATGCCCTTGAAAAGGTAAAATAGTTTGAGTTGACCCTGAATGAGAAAATACTTTGAGGATTCGTACTTAACTCGATTAAGTACGAATTTGATTGTTAAGATCCTGACTTAGTTCAGGAAAATTCCTGATTTTCCGTTTGTAAAATCTGAGAAGACACTTGACCCAGAAATATCTGAGTTATGAGTAAATACCTGAAGAATAATTTGTCGGGGTGTTCTATTGTCATAATTATTCGAAAGGACTGAAATAAATGATAAGATTGAATTTAATAGTAAGATCGGACGAAAGGAAATGATTGAAATACGTTGAATATGTAAAATGACCAAAATACCCCTGTATTAGGAATGACCCAAGAATACCACCAAGCTCAGGAATGATTGGATATCCTTGAGCTCTGAAATGAATGAAATAAAATTGAACACCCAAATTACCAAAATAACCTTATGACCTATACCAAGTAAATGTCTTGGATTAATTAAGAAATCCAAATAAGCATGGGTGTTGGACTACCTTTAAAAGTAATAGAAAACAATTTAAGTGAGAAGATCAACCCTAAAGCTATGTCAATACCTGAATGGCATATATATTACTGGAATACGTATTCGTCCTCTCAAGTTTGGCTCGATGAGAAATTTTGTAAGTATTCAGCTCAGCTCAGCTCAACTCTAGATCGCATTCAGTACTAGGAATTTGACGTTTGTTCGACAAATCAACCATGAAGACCAAATTGAATGGAACGGAAGTACAACATGTATCTAAAATTCAATAACGTCTAAATTACTCTGAAAAACCCCGAAGTAATTGGAATGGACTTGACTGCTAAATAAGCTATGTAATCTCAATGATTGAGGATTAAATAAGCGAATTGGATAAGTCTGGAAATTCTGATGAGTTTATAAGATGTACTGTCCTTATGGAACATGAACTACAACTCAAGCACGTCAGTATTTCATGATATCGTGGAATCTTGGAAATGAAAAAAAAGATCATTGGAATATCTATTCAGCGATAATTCTGAAGATGATCTATGAACAAGAATTTGTGGTATTAAAAAGTAAATATCCTGGAAGGAAAATGAATTGACCAGTGGACATAAATTGTTAAGGTTTTGAATCTTCGTTCTCAAATTGTTCGATTATCCGATCAATTGACATGGATGTAAAAGATTATGAATACCCTTATGATTACGTACAACTTCTGAAAATTGTCCGAATAAGATATGATCCTGATAATTCACATTCTGAATAACTGATGATTCCGTCAGTTATTAAACTTTTTACAATATTGATTCTAAATTCCGACATTCTATCGGTATACTGAAGATCCGTGTTTCTCTACTTGCTAAGATTATCCAATACCTCTGAATAATATTTGTAAACTCTGATGTGTCCCCTAATCATATAATTATTTTATCTAATTTCCGACTTGAATTATGCTCTGATACATGACCTGAATTTTGTTCTGATTTCTGATCTGGATTCTGTTCTGATATCTGTTCTGAATTATGTTTTAATTTCTGATATCTCCGTTTAATGACGGAAAAATGTTTTAATTGGGGGTATTGTTGAAGGAAGAATTTCCGCAGGTTCCTCGACTTTGTGCTCAGGGCCTTATATGATGTGTTGGGTTGGGTGTATGGTTCTGAGAACCTACACATTCTGATGTGATGGGATGGAGGTATATATATGTTTTAAAAGATCTATATCTTTTTACTGGTTTTACGGGAACACACTAGACAACCTATTCCGATCTCCTGAACTCAAGCATTCAAAGTATTTATTTGAACTAAAAGTTCATTGTCCGTTAACATCTGAAATATCAGTAAGATCTCCGATCAGCATAAAAATCTAAAAATTTTCGGAACCAATAAGGAAAGATATGTTTATCTGTATTTGCACGTTCTTCAGCATCATTTGGTAGTTCTGTATTGTTGAGCTTTCTAAAACTCACTCTGTTATTCATTTTTCAGGTTAAAAGAATTGTACCAGTGCAACTATCGTCATCAGTAATAGAGTTCTTCCGGTTCTGTTTGCAGAGTACGATACATGTGATTAGGGGGCATGTAATTGTATTTTGTTTTATATGTGAGTCTGAAAATCTGTTTTAATTCATCTTTCTGATCAATGATTTTATGAATTTACATGTTTTAAATAAAAAAATTTAAATTTTTCGCTATTTTTACCTTGGGTCGCTATGGTGGCCTTAATGTGACACTTCAGATCTGATTACCCGCATCGGTCTGGGGTTACAATTCACACCTTTGCACAATCATCTCAACATGAAGCACCTAAAAGCACCTTCAAATCTTATAAAAAAAAAAAGCACCTAAAAGCAAAACATGCATCATTGTCTAATCTTAGTGGCAGAAAACATCATATTTATCCCCAATTAAGCCTAAAATTGAGATAAAATTGCATTGTGTTCTTCCAAACTTTCAGAATAAAAAAGAAACCTCTTGTTCATATCGACATCGGCTTTCTTGCAAACGATGTTAGCGAAACGCCTTCCAATACCCTTGATGAAGGTCATTGCGAACATTATCTTCTGCTTTCCATCAACGTTGGTGTTCAGCACACGCAAAATGTGCTGAAAATCTTCATTGGCCACCAGAGACTACACAGGCAAACATTAAAATCAAGTTAAAATCAGCAATGTTTAGGCAAGAAAACTTAAAATCCGAACTTAAATCAAGTAAAAGACGTTTGATGAACGCTAATAACAACCTCCTTCCACCCCAAAATAGAACAAATGAAATAAATTTAGATCGGAAACTGAGTCAGGTAAGAAAAATAAAGCATTTAAAAAGCTTCGAAAAGAGGAGTAAATCAATTCACGTGGAAAAATTGTAAAGATTATGAATTTAAAAGAGAAAAATAAAAAACCAATTACCATTTTGCGAGGACGAGGAGAACTGGGGACAGAAAAGAAGAAGCTCTGTGCTACTGGTTAGCTGAAGGGAACGAAAGGAGGCAAACTACGGTTTTATATATATATATTCACGATTCTAGGTTTTAGGGTAATTCGTTTTGCGTTTTATTATTTGGTTAAATTCTGTGATCAGTACTTGTAATATGTAATATTTGTTCATATATTTTAACTCTATTTTCTTCATATTTTAAAATTTTCGTCTGAAATTTACTAAACTAAATTATTCTACAGTTATATGTAATTTTAATTATTTATAATTTATTATTGGAGTTAGAATTAAAAATTTTCATTTTAAAAATTATACATATAAAATTAATCAAATTAGAATATATAAACTAAATCTAGAATTGATCTTTAGTAAAAGTATTAACCATAAAATTTGACCTATTATTTTCTTTTTTATATATTTTCTTACTTTATTTTTCTTGGTTTTAAAGTTAATTGTTCTTTCGTTTTATTGATTGTTACTTAAAAATCATTTTGAAAATGTAAAATGTTTTCTAAAAATCAGAAATTGTATAATGTTTGAATGACACGATAAAAAATAATTTTATTATTTTGTTTGAAGATTTTACCCTTTTTTCAAAATGTAATACTCAAGAGTTTAAAGATTACATATTATTATTGAAATATTTATTATCAAACTAATGTGTTTTATTGATATTAATATTAAAAATATAGTACGTTATATTAAAGACTTTTGAGTATTTTTATTTTATAAAGAATACCATAGGGTCCATGTATATCGTGAAGAAAATCAAATAAGCCAAGAAGAAGCACTAAACATTTTATGTACTGATATGCTCAAAGAAACTGAATCATACAATCAGTTCATCATTCTAATGGAATAACTTTCTAAGTTAAACCGAAATTATATTTCGTAATCCGACATACAAATTGAAACCTGGGTCTAATATCATACATAGCTAAGCTTTAGATACATGAAATGAAACCTCAGTGTGTCGTCTTTATCATAACACTAACCTTGCTTCATGAGTTTCATCTTCCATGGCATTCCAAGCCTTCATCCACCCCCACTAGGAGATGCATTTTCTTCCCCAACCATGTGGCTCAAGCAATTTGAAGAAAGTCCAACTCTTCCTTGTATTCTCAGTTTTAAAAGAGAAGGGTATTTTATACTGGTATTCCGAAAGTTAATCGATGTTATATAGAAATATTACAACCTAATTCTTTGGCAGCGGTGTCGAGAAATTGTATATGCATTCCTCTTGCGAGCTGACTATAAGCTTCCCATGTTAAGCACTTTTCGATATCAGTTTGCCAGTCAATGGCACCTATATTGAAGTAATGATAAGATGGATCATGCATACCGCTTATTTCCACCTTAGATTTAGAATTGATTGAACCGATGTGCAAAATGTTGCGAAGGACTGAAGTGCTCAGAGCTCGAACATGTGCACTTGTATGAGAAAGGCATCGAGTTGTAGCTGGTAGACGACACTGCACGGATAGGGAGATTAAGGATCAAATCAGCAAATATCTTGCAGTAACATCATACGTGCTCCACAATAATGGGCAGTGGTATTTACAATGAACAGGTTCAAAGCATTTTTCAACTTTAAGCTTAAGAATATATTGAATTCACTGTGCCAATAAAGGGCATTTTGCTCACCTTTAACAGGTTTGAAAGTCCATCTGCTACAGCCAGTCCCGATTCTCCCCACTCAAATACCGGCTGAACTGCTCTAGCCGTTGCTTCCAACAGCTGCCAGTTTTGAATATAATGACAACAAAATGAATAAAACACTCCAAACAGTGAACTTCAGCAAGGGATTACACATGTTCAACCTCACAAAGGTGGGAAAACATGAGGCAACTTAACAGTCCAACAAATCTAGCTTTACAAGGGAAGAAAAATATAATATACCTGAGCTCTAATACCATATTAAGCATCCAGTCCAAAATCGGTTGATACAAGTGAAGAGGCTTAACTTGAATATATTACGATTATATGAAACCCAAAACTTAACAAATGTGGGATAATATCACTCAACTTCACCCAAATGTCCAATTAGAAAGATGCATTGATTGGAAAATGACCATCTATAAGCATCAATAATTAGATAAAATACCTCAAGTTGTGGTAAAGTACAAGCTTCCCCGTCAACAAGCATCCCGTCTGTGGCACGAAGTAGTAGATCAGAAGCACTTGCCACTATTACCAATGATTCTGGGCAATCATGATTTCTCATCAGCTCCACGATCAACTTTACAATCCGCTGGTTGATTCGCCACATCTTCTGACCTTGACCATCATCTTTGGCAATCCAAGGCTGCAATTCCCTATCCGCCTGACAACAACACAAAGCCATGAAAGTCACCAAACAGATTAAGAGTAAATAAAGTTAAAAAAACGCAAAAGCTAAAACAAGGCATTTTATGGCTGCTGGTTTGGACACCATGCAGATGACGGTTCATCCTGTTATACCATTTATGACAAATGGTAGCTCTTGATTTTATTACCATAATTACAAATTGATATCATCTTTCACAAAACACATGGTGTTCAAATCAGCAGCCATAAAGAAAAGCCCATGATTCCGTTTTTCTAATTTTAGACTAAAACCCACAAGATAAACAAAATTTGGACCTGAAGTACAACGGCTGTAGCTGCTTTTGTCGGTGAAGCTGATACAACATTGCACAATGCATCAACCACCTAATTCCATCCAAGTAGGGTAGTAAGACAAATATATTTCTATGAAATAATAATGATGAATTTATTGATGAAAGATAGGGCAATTATATGAATTGCCCGATGTTTCCGATCCACACAAGTATAACAAACCTCATCTGTTTAGAAAATAAATATAAATATATAAGGGATCAGTTAAGGTGAATCTTTTTTATAGTTTTTGACGTGAAGATTACCTGTCTCCATCCTTGCTGGGCAGATGTGCTTTCGGCACTGAGCTGTGTTTCAGGGGCTGCTATCAACTTGTGCCACAGTAGTGAAACCACAGAGAAACATAACTCTTGTTTCTCCACAAGCACTGATCTCAGAAGAATTTGTGCACTGCAATTGAATCCTATGTGTCTGTCCCTTGTGAGAAAATTGGCCAAATCTGAGGCATCTAGTGGGAAACTTGTTATGCCTTTGCCCAAGGAATTTCTCGAGCCTTCATTTGATGCTATCATTCCCTCACATCTGATATTATTGTCTGAATGAGTCGAATCTTCAAATTCTGAAGAAGACTCCCCGGGACCAAAGCAAGTGGCACTTGAACAATTGTTTTCTTTTCTGCCATCTAAACAAGCGGAATATTTCCCAACAGGTGCATATATCAGTTGTGCTTCTAATGGTTCAGCCTTGTTAACAATGGATGCAACAGCCTTGCTGTGAATATCAATGAGATTATATAACGATGATGCCCTGGTGTAAATTTCATTGTCCCACTTGCATCGCATTAGGACAGAGAGTGCATACATGCAAGCCTTTGACCGTCTAAATAGTTCAGAAACATGAGCAGCAACCATAGCTGCAGCAACTATTTCATTTGAACTATAACTCCATGAGGTGCCAACAGAAGATGGCTTCAGCGAAAAAAGTGCCTCTAAAATTGCCAGGATTCTGTGAGTATGATGGATAGCAGAGTCAATGCCATGTCCACATTGAATAGAAGATCCATTTACTTTTACAGGGTTGACCGTAGCTTGAACATCTATAGAAGTTGAATGATTATTTCCTCTTGTAACCAAAGGGAACAACTGAAGCTCACAGGCAAGAGCACAAACAGCAGCCAACACATAAGAATCAAATGCAGCTACAGGCCCTTGGTTCTTTTCTTTTCTGGGTTTAATATCTTTCAGCTTTTCATCTTGTGCCTGTGATTCCTTAATGCCCTCACCAGGAGGATAACTTTCTTCACCTCTTCGTCTCTTACTCCCATTGAACTGAGCTTCATGGCTAACGCACACAGTCAAGACAACAAAAAGTAGGCGAGAAGCGAGCTCTATAGAAGCACATGATTCTAAAAAGAGGGAATGCACCATTGTACGAAGCTCAGCCACAGCAAGATTCTTTGAGGCAGAGCCTATGCTGTATCTTGTTTTTCTGGATTGCTCCCTGGAGGATTCAGGTGGAAAAGTTCTCTGAAGAATTGCTTCAACAGTCGCCACAAATATCTTCATGAGACATGCTTCAGAAGGACTTCCACGTGGAAGGTATTCAAGGACCTTGAGAAGTGGTATATATAGGTTCCATGATAGTATGGGAGGTTGTAATGGGGTTGAAACAATGATTTCTGGAAGATCAACAGCCGATGAGCTCAAGGGAATCAGGCCATAAGCAGCTTCCCATATGGTGCATATTCTCCATTCCACCTCTGGTCCATGAGCACAAAGCATTGACGCAATCCCTTGAGCAGTAGCTTCAATTGTTGCTTCAGCTGCAGGCACCTCAATCTGATGAACAGTGTTTTGAGATGTTTTTTCAGTTCTTGTGAACAAGTATCATTGTATGTATAGACCCATGCTTATTAACTACTTGTCCACAAAGAAAACCCAAAAGGTTAAAGAATTGAAGATAACATGCAAAATTTTGAAGCTGACCAGCAATACCTGCTTTCTATAACACGAGATATAACCACCAGAAGGTTCATGTTGAACTTCTACTCCCTCAACTTGTCTGATTGGAGGAAAGAGCAGTGCAGGCTGTGAAAGTACGCGGAAAAGTAAAGCTGCGGCAGCATCAGCAGCAATGCCTGCTCTCATAGACATTGCAGTCCCAATTGCCCGCAAAAAATGCAAATGCATCCAATTTCGAGGAAGCTACAGCAACATCCATAAAAGCAACTTGCTAAGACAAATAGAATGGTGATAACTTAAAGCACTAATGCATCTTTTTGAAGAAATATAATTATATGTTTTTCCCTAATGAATGTTAGGTCCTAGAGTGGAATGCTTCCTCATAAACAACTCCATATTAAGGCATATGCCGGCGCACGCTTTACTGATATTCACGCAAGATCGCACTCCACCACATTGACTGATAATACACCAAAAACAACAAGGTTCACAAATGTCAACTGGAGGTAACGTGTATTGGTCAAGTTAAGAGTTTCTTGTAAGACCTTTTATTCAGGGTTGTGTCTAAATCCACAGCCAGCAGCTTTTAAGTTGGATCAGAGCAACCACCATGCCAATACATAATTTTATAAATGCAGCCACTTTTAATGAAAACACTTTCGTGAAGAGTTTCTTGTAAGACCTTTTATTCAGGGTTGTGCCTAAACCCACAGCCAATAGCTTTTAAGTTGGATCCAAGCAACCACCACGCAATATATAATTATGTAAATGCACCTCTAATGAAAACACTTTCATGAACGGGATGCTCACAACATAGTTCACATGCATCTAGAAATACCTATTCAGCGTCCTTGATGCAACCGCCAATTTTTGTTATTAAGGACCGTATCCTTCTTATTGATCTCATTAAGGATTAGCTAGCACCTTCACGTAATTCTGTTTAGCATGTGGTTGAACAATCTATGTTGACAAATTTTGCAATTTCATTAAGCTAACATTCAAGATGATGAAGGTGAGATCCACATGAAATTCAAGTTTGATACCAGAAAGTATTGATTTATATTCAAATGTATGCACTGAAAAGCATTTAACTCACCCTTATACCAGTTGCATAATCTTCAGCAGCCCGAAGGAGTTCCACAAGCTGCACAGCAGCATCAAGTGCATCTGGAGCCCATGATGGAGGTGCTTCTAAAAGCCCAAGAAGAAGTCTTTGGGTGGCACTTGGAGTTGCAATGGCATAGTACCTGATCAGGAAAAATGAAGGGGAAAAAAACTATATCATATAAAGACCGTATTTTAATCAATGTTAATATTCAGACTCTTGCCATTGCATTTGTAAAACACTTCTATCTCAAATAAAATGTCCAGAATGCACTTAGAAACTTCTCAGCTTTTCAAGATATGTGATATATATTTGCTTTAAGAACATCAGAACTTTGGATTACAGGAAAATCTTAAAATTTAAGAAGTCTTAAGGTATTTGAAGAAACCATGTTGAAGGCAATTTCGGCAAGAAGGTGCATATATACAAAAGCGCACTGACATTGCAGTCTTTATGCAACCTAAACCCTACCCTTGCTTAGAAAAACACGAAGAAACTGTTATTCAAACATCCAGATTGCCTATACAAATTTGGAAGTTCTTTGCGCAGCTCATGGTATCCAAGGAAAAATATCTGAGCATACGTTGTTCAAGAGAAAAGTTTCAGCAATTTACCGATGAAATAAACGTGCATATGGTTCAAGGGCTGGTAGCCCAGCAACTAGATGCTCATCCAAAGCTGTTGTAGGGGGAGGAAGTAGAAGGGCAGGGACTGCTGCAGCAGTTAAACTAGCAGTCTCGTAGCGTGTAACCTCTTCATCACACACGCTTAAAATGACACCAGCACCATTTGCGACGGCCCATCTTGGAGTTGATGGCATGAGCTGAGGATGCTTTCCAGATCCACGTGAAGAAGCTATGGATAAACGGCAGTCAGGTGATGAGTCCTCGAGGCTAACATATCTTATTATTTGTGGTTATGAAAAAAATAACTTTAGGCCATTTTTATTTTCATATCTTAATATACATCCACACATGCATTTACTAATTATTACCACACAATTATCATCAAATTATATCATAACAAGACAGTAACTAGTAAGGCCACTAATGACATTCCCGTGATAATTTTACCACACAATGCATTCTCACTCATGCCTTAAGCAGCAAGGTAACAAAGAGTGATCCTACTAAGCAATAAGCACATCAAAATAAATCTTCTATACATGATATTTTCAACTACATTAAGAATATTTATTTAGTCATTTTAATGCAGAATGTTGCCCGGACTGGCATCAATAGGTCAAGAGACGACGTATTTACTGCCAAAAAAGAGACGACAAAAATTTTCAACTTATCAACAAGTCACATGCAAAGCACTCTTTACAAAAAAGTTTATATAACCCTTTACTGCCTTACAGAGTTTTCTAAACCACGTCTTGTCTAGAAAACTTATTTCTTTAGATGAGCCCCTCTAGAGATTACCACAAATATAGTTCATAAAATCAGTTGCAGTAAAGCTATATTTGATCAATTAAGAAGTGAGATGTATCCTATCACTTATACCCAAATGTTGGTTGGCCATAACTAGAATAACATTTATATTCTTGTTCGTAGTGATGATTTTTGCAACATACATATGTATTATGTATGATTTGCAGAAAAGCATGTATTACTCTTATGCTACCCTTAATCTTGTATTTCTATCTCTTCTGATTGTCCATATCTGTTAGAACTTTTTCAACTTAATAATTGAAGGCTTTACTTATTTACTGATATCTTCATCTATTGCTCATAAAAAAATAGTCTATCATGATAAAATCTAGAAGACTTCAATATTAAAAAAAAACCTTGCATTTTCCAATTAAAGAACGAGTCCATGGTACAAAATGTCAATGCCTAAAACTAAATTTATAGTTTGGAGAAAAGCTTACATGCAAGCATGTGAAACAATAACTACTTCACTTAACGGACACAAACAGAGTTATAATCATGTCATGAATTTGAGCAAAAAAAATATCTAACTAACCAGTTGTAGGTGGCTTGAGGTCTCCAGCTGCATATTTTCCCATAACACCACTGCACCTGTTAACCCATATAAATGATTGTGGGCTTCAGAATTAAGCACATAGTGTTCTATGCAGTGAGCCTAATCGTAGGATGAAACATACAAGGGCATTTAAAGTCAATGACAGGTATATGATAAATTGAGCTAGTATGTAATTACTTGAGAGCGACCTTGAAACTCAGAAGTAAATCTTCTGTAGATGAGCAGATAAAAGTCCTTTCCCGCTATTTTAAATGGACTCCAGTACGGGTATCTCATATTAGTATGTGTCTAACTGTCATACATGCTCTTTTCTGAACTTTTGGACTCTCAGAGTTCAATAAAAACGTGTCCAATAATAAGATAGGGTATGCAAATACGTCTTTAAAAATTTCATAACATAATTTTGTTAAATAAATTTTGTTTTATATTTTACCCTCATAAAAGAACAAATTTTCATCTTCTTTTCCTTACTTTTTTTAACCTAAGAGGCTCAAACACACCCATCATTTGCACTATAAAATTAAGAAAGAACTTACAAATAAAAAAAACAAACAAACAAACAAACAAGAAAGAGAACTGATGTTTATAGAGATCAACTAATGTTTCAAGCTACTTAGAAAGGACAATATAAAGCATAGTAAAATGCACTCACCAACGGAAGTAATCGCTTCTGATGCCCAAAGGCGCTGCAAGCAATATATCAGTAATCCAAGGAGACAAAGGCCTTAAAGGCTTCCTCTCCTGTTGCTTCAAAGGTATACGACAGGATGGTTCCCCATCTACAGATTCACTTGTCGTAGCTTGGCTGCTGCTGTGGCTTCTATCCAGTTCACTATTTTGTGGTTCCATTTTATATATTGGGCGGTTGTAATGAGTCAGAATTCGCAAGATCTCCCCGCATGCAAGAGCCCACTGTTCAGAATACTCATTCTGTGAAAAAAGAGAGCATTGAGAATCTAACATCCAAAAGGAAAAAAAAGAATGTGAAGCAAAGACCATCTTCTTTGTTGAATGAAAAAATTTAGTATAATACCTCGCTACTTGGGCAGACTAAGGAGATGAATGACGCAAAAGGAGCAGTACTCTTATCATAAACCAGCGTACCATCAATGATGCCTGAAATAATTGGAAGAACAACTGCATGCCCATGTTCGGGATGGTGAAGGACAAAAGTAGCTGCAAACCAATTATTTTAAAGTATCGATCATTCTCGGTTATATAAATAAATTGTTTGAATATATTAATTTAAAGGTTTAATCATAATGGATTGTGCTTAGTACAGAAGAAGAAAGAGCCAATACCCAGAACATCATCAAAAAGGCGTTGCTCCTTAGATGGATAGCGGCTGCGAATAAGCTATTACAACAACAAACAAATTTTGTTAGATATATAAATCCTTAACCATCGAAGACTTTCCTCAATTGAAATAATGATGATAAACAAATTAGTTAAGCATCTTTCCCTTCATCCTCTGCAAGTGTGAAATGGTTGTACAAAACAAATATACCTCGGCAATATCCTCAGGGAACTGTTCTGATGTGAATTGACCAAAATACTCAACGTATGCAGTAATTTGAACCTAAACAAGGGGAAACATAATAAAGAATATGAATTTAAATTAGCAAGAGATAATCATGTAAATTCAAAGAACCAGAAAGACATGGATGGATCAACACAAAATTTTAAAAAGAAAAAAAAAGGTCATGCACATGGTCCTTTTGTAAAATTACTCGAAATAAAACTCAAACCACATCTGAATACAGAATTAACATGATTTATAGTGTTAGCCACGTCCAACAATAATCTGGACACCAAATGATCCGAACTCATACCACATCTGAATACAGATCCAACGCTTTACACATGATAGATTTGTAAAATGACTCGAGTATCTACCTCGACCATGCCATAAATTTTAAGCAGCAAACAATTCCTATGAATTAAAGCAGTAACAAACAACTCTTATCTTCTCATTTCAGAATTCGGATTCCAAATTTAATGCAATTTTCACTTAAATGCATCTTTTGAAAATCGAATAAGAATGCAACGAAAACAAACACGATGAGAACCATGCAGTACCTTTCGTTCTTGAGGGTCTTGCGGCGGCGACCAGAACAGCGATGAAAACTGAAGACCATCAATCCACCTCTTAGATGGATTAGCCATTTAGACTAAATAAGGATTTGTCCTCCAAACGTACTCTTTTGAATCAATCACCAGAACCTATGCTTTTCCACTCTGCAACTGCTACCTGTCAAGAATCAAGATTTCGTAATTCAACATCACAACCCTGTGCAACCCTCAGATTGCCACAAATATACATATCAAATAGAAGAAAATAGAAAAGAATTGAACTCGCAGAAAAAATTCAACGAGAGAAACTATAGCATCTCTCTCTAAAAAGACTAGGATTTTACAACAGTATTAATAATCTCCACAAAGTTTCAGCCTTTAGCTACCTAAAGCCTTGTAATAAAAGTATAGTTTAACTTAAAATCAGAATCTGTAACCATAAAGCAAAAGCAAAGGGAAAAACAATAAGCAGGTTTTTGAAAAAATTATATGAATGAAAATCAAATCGCTTGAACATGGATTAATAAGAAAGCTAAGAACATTGTCTATACGATACACCTACCTAAAGATTCAGATAAAAACATTAAATTGATGGTTAGTACCAAAAAGAATAAAATCTTCAAACTTCACAGATAATAGAAAAAAATTGAAAGAGCAAAATATTATTTAAAGATAAAAAATAGAATAAATAAAATAAAAACACACTAAATCAACAACAACAAAAACTCAGATTAGATCCCAAGACACATTTAAAAGAAAAATATTGTAAACATAAACAGAATAAAAAAATCCAAACTTGGAAATAAATATATATTTTAAAAAATAGTTGGAAACTCAATAAGTACCTTGGCTACGGTTACCAGAAGCTAAATATTTTTCCCGAAGTAGTTTCGATTTAACGCTCTGATATAAACAAGTATGACTGTAAATTAAAAGGAAAAAATACAATTTTTTTTGGAAAAATTTAAGAGGTGGTACAGCGTTTTGGTGTGAGAGAGAGAGAGTTATAGAGAGAAAGAGGAGATCTTTAGAAGCCTGTTCGCTTAAGATTGGTGATGACTTGGCAATGATATTTTCCTCTGGTCTCGCAAACTCCTATGTCATGACACCATTTATGCTGGCATCATACATACATGCATGGTACATATCATAAAATAATAATAATTAAAAAAGTTTAATTACAAGAAAAGAGAAGGGACAGCACTTGGGTTTTAAATTCTACTTAATATTTTGCTTGAAAGCTTTGATTATTAAAACGGTTTGGTCGGAAGATATTTTGGGAGGAGGTGACGTGTGTTGTTGTGGTGTACGTCTGCCATTGGAGATCTCCCTTGATGATGAGATGTGTTGTTGTGGTGGTCGGTAAATAAAAACTCTTTTCTAAATAAAATATCGTGTTTAAAAAAATAATAAATAAATATTGCATGTTTTAGTATTTTAAAAGGGTTTAATATAAAAAAATCTTAAAATTATATTTCTTTTATTTAGGTGCTTAAATTTTTTGTCAATTTAAGTTCTTAACATTTTTAATGTTATCATTTATGTGTTTCGACTGTAACAGATGTTAAAAAAAATCGTCAACAACTCAGAATGTGACATGTTGTTCCTTTATAAATTTTTAAACTTTATTTAAAAAACTTATAATTATTATTATTACTCAAAAAAATCTAAAAAAAATCTCAAAATCCTTAATCTCAAAGCATTCGTCGCACCCGTCAACCGTCTACCACTGTTGCTACCCCACCGACAGCCTACCCATCGACCACCGTCAATCGTGACTTTAAACCCCAAAAATCTCTAAACTCAAATCTCTAAATCCAAACTCTAAATCCCTAATTTCTAACACACATCCATCCCAATTGGTGAATGGATGGTTAACGAGTGATTTACAGGCTGGTAGATGAGCCGATGATTGCCGACGGTGGTAGTGGTCAGCGCCAAAATTGAAAGTCTTAAGATATTTTAAGAAAAATAAGAAAAGTTTAGGTTTTTTTTAAAGTATGATTTTTTAAAAAAAAGTCAAGAAAATAATAATAATAAACCACGTGTAAAATACTGTTTGATGACTTATTTATATGGATTTTTAATAGTTATTACGGTATAGGAACCTAAATGATAACATTAAAAACGTTTGGCATATAAATTGATAAAAAAAAACTTTAGGTGTCTAAATGGGTAAATAAGTAAAATTATTAAACCTTTTAAAAATAATAAATGGTGTAACTTCAAAAAGTAAAAACAAATTTATGATGTTAAAAACATATTTTATAGATTAAATTGAGTTTGATTTAGTGGTGTTGACTGATATAGCCAAATTTAGATTGTATAAATATTTATTTGATTATTTATATTATATTATAAAATAGTTTGACATAAAATATATAAAATGAGAATTACATAATTATAATTGGAAATGTTATTTTGTGTTTTTTAATTTAAACATAAAAACTAAGTCTTTTTAAAATAAAAATTTACTTCAATAATATGTTGAAAAAATTGACCACATAATGTAAAGAAAATTAATTTTTAAATAAGATGTTTGCTATAATATCCACTAAAAGTTATTTCGATCACCCACGATTTATGTAACGCTATTAGTTATTTCTTCTATCGTACATGCATGGAAGACGAAAAATATATATTGTAATATTTGAACGACTTTAAAAAATGTGACTTTACAATTTAAACCACATTTATTTTGTATGTAATGTTTGAGTTATTTTTATATGTTTTTAATATTTTCTTTGCATGATCATTATATGATCTTAAGTGATTAGTTTTATCTTAATAATTATAAAAAATCTTAATTATTCTTTTTACAAAAATGATAATTTGCATGTTTTTCTTCAATAATTCCATAAAAGTTAAATCAAATAAAAGGGGAAAATGAACCGCGGGTTCAATTTCTATGATAGTGAAGGTTAGTTGACTTTCTTCAAATGCTAAAAACACGGAGAAAACACTCTCTAGTTGGAACTGCACCCAAATTATTTTATAACACCACAACATATAATAATAATAATAATAATAATAATATACTATAAAATTAGAATCAATTTATATAATATACTAATAAATTACAATTATAATTAATATATTTTTGTATAATTTAAATTAATTATTTTAATTGTTGATGATAATAGATTTATCTATTCACAGTTGACGATATACATTTTTTATTTAGATGAAAAGTCATGACAATGAACGAACAACTATTGATTAATACTTTGTTGAAAAAGAAGCCGGGAAAGAAAGTGTCAGCATGTAGGTTCAAGGAATGTCACTTGTAATTGTAAATGGCCATCCTTTTTTTCTTTCGATTTTGATTTAGAATATTTATAATGTATTTGAGTATGTGAGTTAATAGTAGGGTCATTGTGACTATTTGCATACTAACAACTAAAGAAATTCGATTTTTAAACCTTAAACTATGTTATAATAAGTAATATGAATATATCAAATGTTTTATCTATGTATTATAATTGAATTAGAAAATATTCATCCTCCAATAAACAAAGATATATAACTAAAGACCTTGACTATCGGAGTGTTAATAATTATAATGAATATAGTATAACGAAAACTTAGAGATTTACGAAAACTATCTTTATAATATAACAATGATATATAAAATAAAATAACAATAAAATTTAAAACCTAATATATTCGACAAATATCCCATGCATCCGTTTTATATGGTCATTTAGATGGACAAGGATCTAACCAACGGCAAACAGAGCATCAGATCTGATGCTTCGACGGTGGGGCCCGAAAATCGAACGCTCTGTGAGGTAGCTATTGCCCGAAAGTATTCGACCATTATGAATAAGCCACGTGTAACGTTAGGTGGATGAGGATTCGGGGGCACCTTCACGGGCAGGTTCCAAAATATCTGGCTGGTAGAGACACCAGGTTTAGATATTTTGGCTTGCTATTTCAGATCAAGCCAATGAGGGCATAGCAATAGATATATACACGTGGCAGAATGACGTGCTCTCATTCCATTTCTTCCTTCGCCAGCCTTCTTTTATCTTGTGGGTCCCTTGCACAGGCTATGATTTATGAATGCCAATGCCATTTTGTTTTCTTTTCCATTCCCCATGCACATGCACGCATGCATACATCGCATCAATGTGTCTGGAGTCGCAGAGATTCAGTGATGACGTGTTTAGGTTGGCTCTTTGTAAATCAAAATAATAAAATTAAAATTATGGCCATTGTATAGCACTACAAAAAGATCAGGATAAATTATATATTTAGTCACCATATGTTATTTTGTTTATGTATTGGTCATATAATTATTAAATTTTCAAAATCATACTCATTATTATATTTTATTTTATTTTAGTCACATGTCGTTAAAAAATAAAAGACAACGATAAAATGTAAATTTACCATTATTATTTTTATTTAGACATCTTCAACAATTATTTTTTAATTGATTTATACTACCAATAAGATAATGACTCGTTTAGAGAATAAAATCAACAAAATATTCATATGCTACTAAGGGGAATCAAACTCTAGCCTCTAAGCATAGTGGTAGGTGCCTAGCCATTAGACTAGGCATGATATTTGGGTTGAGTGGACACAACAAAAATAAAACGTAACGTTAGGTATGATTTTAAAAAAAATGTGATAACCAAAATAGAAACTAAGTAATATGTGAGTGACTAAATAGGTGGTTTACCCAAAAGAATTAACTAAAACCTACTATGAAGTAAAAGATGACAAGTTGGATAAATTTAAAAGGGGACTTAATTAAGAGTATTACATTTTTTAAATGTTCCAAATAAATAGTAACTTAATTTGAAAAGGGAACTTAATTAAAAGTAACTTTAAAATCGAGTGCCCAGATGCTAGTTTTCCATAATATTTGTGGAGCCAGGGCCTTCTCTGGCCCATTATGGTCCGCCTATGCTCTCCACGATCAAAGAGAAAAAAGGACGGAAAACAATAATGAAGATAGAACAAAACAAAGTACATAAAAGAGAAGCAAATTGTTTGCATCATTTGCTAAACAACCTGGAAAGCGTACAACGAGCTGGAGAGACTTAACTGAATGGTGAGAAATAAGTGAAACTAATCTGTTGGAACTCGAACAAGAAAAGCAACAACATTTGTAGTCTCAGCAAACTCTTTTAACAATTTATAGCAAAGGCACCATAATTAGATCATAACATTGATAACCTTCAATATCTTTTATTTTTCTTTGTCTAGGGTGTTAGCAAACAAGGTTGAGTGTGAATGAAGCTAGAATGGTGACTGAGTGGTTATGATGTGTGTGAGGTTGTTGAGTGTTGTGAGTAAGTGAGTGTGTGTGTGTGAACACATAACCGTCTGTTGAGTTTGTTAGTTGAGCTGTCATGAGTTTGTTAGATAACAAGTTGTATAAAAGGGTATTAAGCCCTCAATGAAATGCATGGAATTGCTTCTTTATTATTGTTGTTAGTTTCTTTAAACCAGTAATCCATCATGGTATCATTCTCCGTCTATTCTTGAGGTGATTCGCTTCACTGCTTCAGTTGTTGAAAGACATGGATTCGTTGGCTGCCAAGACCTTCACTCACAAGAAGGTGAATGTCATTCTTGATGAATCGAATTTCTTACTATGAAAGCAGCAAGTTTTATTGATTGTTCGCAGTCATAGGCTCTAGCGGTTACTGACTGGTTCGTTGCAGCCTCCGACTGCCTTTGTAGCTGGTGCAAATGGTGAATCGGTGCCAAATGAACTGTATGATGAATTTGTCGCACAAGATAGTGCATTGGGGTCGTGGCTGCTGTCAACAATCAGCTCGCATATGTTCTCTCAATTTGTTGGGGCAGAGACTGCGGTGGCTGTTTGGAACAAGATCATGCAGTTCTTTGCAAACCGCTCTACCACGGCAGTCATTAGCCTCCATTATAAGCTTCAGTCACTCAGGAAAGGAGATAACAACATGCGGACGTACTTGACCCGGATCAAGGAAGTTTGTGATGCGTTGGCATCGTGTGATAGTGTCATCTCCACCGCATAACAAGTTGCGATTATCTTAAAGGGTCTCTCGAGGGAGTATCAACCATATGTTGCTTTCATTACTACAATGAAAGACTCATTGTCTCTTGATAAGTTATGTTCGTTGTTGATCGATGCCAAAACTCAGATTGTTGGTTTTGACGCTCGAGATGATCAATTTCCTATGGTGCTCATGTCACTAATATGAGTAATAACTCCAAGTCTAGTATTGCGAGCTCTTACAATCGGACTAATTATCGCAATGACTCTGGCTATGCTGCTCGAGGATGAGGTCGTAGCAGGCCCATGGTTCAGTGCCAGTTATGTGGTAAGAATGACCACCTTGTGGTTGATTGTTGGCATCGGTTTGATCAGAATTTTTGAGGTAGGAGTTCTGGTCGTGGTTCTGCTAGAAACAACACTGGCAGTGTTAATTACTCAAGTGCTGAAGCTTTGCAAGTAGATGGTGATGCGTGTTCTTGCTACACAAAACAACATGCTGAAGCTCATGCTGCACATCGTGACTCCTGGGTGGTTGACTCTGGCGCGTCACACCATGTGACACCTGATACATCGACCATTGATCTCAAATCTGATTTTTCTAGTCCAGGTAAATTACTAGTTGGCAATGGTATACCTCTTTCGATTCATGCTACAGGTAAATCTGATTTATGTTCTAATTCTCGAGCGCTTATGTTAAACGACTTATTGCATGTGCCTAAGATTACAAAGAATTTGTTATCGGTGTCTAAGCTTGCTAGGGACAACGGTGTTTACTTTGAGTTTCGAGCTACAAGTTTATGTGTTCGAGATGAACGGTCTTGTGAGCTTTTGTTGCAAGGTGAAGAACGAGGTGGTCTCTACTTCTTTCAAGTGGATGTTGATGCTGCAAGTAGTAGTCAGGCAATAGCTTATACTGTTCTTACTTCAAATAAATTGTATGAACTATGGCATATCACTTCATGTAGTTGTTGATAAGAAATTGAATGAACAATGTGTTGCTTGTCACATGGGCAAAAACCATAGGCTCCCTTTTACTGATTCAGATACAATCTATTATGTTTCATTTCAATTAATCTACACTGATTTATGGGGACCGTCACCTGTGGTTTCAAATGGTTACAAGTACAATGTGACCTTTGTAGACGCGTGCACACGTCATACGTGGTTGTACTTTCTAAAGGATAAGTCACATGCAGTTTATGCGTTTCAATTATTTCAGCAGCTTGTTTCTATATTCGAAAATACAAGCTGTGCAGAGTGATTGGGGAGGAGAGTTTCGCTGTCTGTCTCGTGTGCTTCTAACAGCTGGTATTTCGCATCGGTTAACTTGCTCACACACGTCTGAGCAAAATGGAGTCGTAGAAAGAAAGTATAGATATGTCATTGAACTTTCTCTCGTACTTCTTGCTCAAGCATCTATGCCTCTTAAGTTTTGGGCTTATGCTGCAGTAATGTCAATTTATCTTATTAACAGGCTGCCAACTCGAGTCTTGCAAGGAATGTCTCCGTTTGAATCGTTGTTTCATAAGAAACCCGACTATGCTTTGCTCAGAGTATTTGGGTGCAGATGTTTTTTGTATCTACGCCCTTTTAATCGTCATAAATTGGAGTTTAGATCGCATTTGTGTACATTTCTGGGTGTGAGTCCTCAACATAGAGGTTTTTTGTGCCTTGGGGCAAATGGCCGAGTTTATGTGTCTTGACATGTCAAATTTGACGAGTGGCAGTTTTCTTTTGCAGCTGAAAATAACGTTGGTACGTACGAGTCTTTTGGTATGACTAGTCGACCTCTTGATGTTGTCATGGATATTCGTAGGTTGGGTGATGTAGCTCCTGAGATGCTTGGAGATCAGCAGGCTCCGGTGTGTGATCATGAAGATTTTGTTGGTTCGTCTAATGGTCTTGAAGATTCATCTGCATCACTTGATGATAATGAAGTTAATTCCTAATCTCTATAAGAGGTTGTTGCACCTAATGAGTCTGCGCATGAGTCTAATGACAATCATCATACCATGTTGACTCGTAGTAAATGTGGAGTTTACAAGCCTAAAGTATATTCCAGCTTTGTTAGTGATGGTGTTCCAACTAATGTTCATGAGGCCTTAATGTCACCCAACTGGGCAGCAGCGGTTAATGCTGAATACTCAACCTTGGTTCAGAACAAAACCTGGAGTCTAGTTGAGATGCCAAGTGATAAGGGTCTTGTCGGTTGCAAATGGCTGTTTAAACTTAAGAGGAATGTTGATGGTTCTGTCCATCGTTATAAAGCTCGGTTAGTTGCTAAGGGGTTTTCACAAGTCCCTGGTCATGACTTTATCGATAAGTTCAGTCCAGTTGTTAAATTTGCAATAGTGTATGTGGTTCTTGCGGTTACGGTTGCGGTTGCTAAGGGCTGGTCCCTAAGACAGATAGATATTGATAACGCCTTTCTCGATGGTGATTTGGTTGAAGATGTTTATATGCAACAACCCCCAGGTTTTGAACAATTTGATTGTGATGGATCTTCTTTAGTGTGTAAGCTGAATAAAGCCTTGCATGGGTTTCGACAAGCTCCGCGGAACTGGAATGAAAAACTTAAAAATAGTATGCTTGAGTTAGGTTTTACGGTTTCACGAACGGATGCTTCCTTGTTTGTTCGCATCATGAATGGCTCTTGCGCATATCTTTTAGTCTATGTTGATGACATAGTAATCACTGGGAATTCAGATGACGACATTGTAGATGCTTAATTTGTCTGGGAAGTTTAAAAACCAGAAAAAAACGTGGGTCGTTAGCAATAGAGAGATATTTTGAGCATTCAAGAAAACCGTAAAAGATCGGTTTATGTTTAGCCATTAACCACCAAGAACGTGGGGCACAGACAGGAAACTAAAGGAGGCGGGATCACACAACAAAGAAAGGGGGGACGAGCAAAAATTAAAAAAAAAAAGGAGAACAACAATTCAGGGGTCATCAAGAACCATTTTCGAGCAGGAGAATCATCAGAAGCCATTGACTAGCAAAAGAAAACACAAAAAAAAGAGACAGGGGGCTTTTCGTTGTAACAGAGGGAGGCGGTGTCGATCTTTCATTTGAATTTACAGAGAAAAATCAATGTAAAAGAGGGAAATAAAACACAACTCTACCATTGTATAAGAAACCGAGAAAGCAGTGCAAAGGAAATCGAATTCTTGCAAAGGTTTTTTTTTCTCCATTTATCATTTGCAGTTTCATTTTTCTTCCTTCGTTTTAGTAATTTCCATATAAATACAAAACCAGAGATAAAGAAAAGGATTTGGGGTTGATTTACCTGAGTAGTGCGAACGTCGATAGAATCTCAACGGCTCCATCTTATTGTCGTATGGGGTCCAATCGATGTTGAAAGTAAGAGCCTTGGGTGAAAGAAAAAGTGAGAGGGAAGAGGAACAGAGAATCATGGTTTGTGAGGGTTAGCTTAGGTGTTTCTTCTGTAGGAGTTAGCATAGGTTTAGAGTGAAAAGGCCATTGGAGATTGATGGCCAAGCTTCAGTCGATGGGTCTTGAAACGGGAGAGAGGGTCCTTGTTTTACAGTGGTCGGCATAGAGAGTTGCATAACTCTCTGTTTGAGAAGACGAGGGAAGAGACATTGAGAGTGAGATAGAATGCGACTGAAGCTAGGGAAGGAGAAATGAGGTTAGGGTTTGATTTTTACTTAGGTATAACACTGCCAAAACGGCAGCGTTTTGGGTGGCCGGTTTGCATGGTATATCTATGATACAAGTCATTAGAGTTCTCGGGTTGATGCAATTTGGTCCCCAGATTAAATTTTTTTCAGGCTTCTATTTGTTTCTTTATATTTTATGTGTCTTTCATTTTGGTTCGCCCTTATGTTGTTTTGAGTTTTACATTATTTTTGTATTTAATCTGTAATTTTGTTAGTTGACATTTTAGTCCTAGGTCAAAATTTTCATGTTTATAATCTTGTTACTTTGTTTCATGCACATTTAATTTTAGTCAATTGTATGTGTATGGTTTATTTTGTTTTTAGTCCATTAGGACAACAAGGGTTTCTTTTTTATTTCAATACTTAAAATGGTTTAATATTTGTTTTATCTCAATTATTGTTATTTCTATAATTAAGATGGTAAATTTCTGTTATGGAGTATTTAGCATCTAGGTTAAACATTTTACTTGATTTCTGAATTTTTTTTTTAGTGTTATGATTCGTTTTTTTTATTTTAGTCATATCTAGTTATTTGTGTTAATATGTGTATAGTTTATAATTTTTATTTTAAAAGTATGCATATATTTTTTATTTAAATGTATAATTCCATATATTATTTAGTAATTAGATGTAATATATCCTTCTTTAATTAAGTTTTGCATGATATTGTTTTTGCACAATTTGCATGATAGCCTTATTTGCATAACTCGACATATTACATAATTGGATTAAGGGTAATATACCTTTAATTTAAAATTATTTTAAGTGGGCAGTCATAATTGATTTGAGGTCCGCTTTTAATGATTTTAAAATAAAAGTGTATCCCGAAAGTGAAACCAAAAATTGGTTCGTCACCTAAAATTTGGGAACGAAAGAAAAGGAAATGTTCGTTTATTTAAATTCATCGAGAAAAGGTTGTTATAACTTTTAAGATCTGGTCTCGATATTTGTAAATAATCGAACATTCTTTATCTTTCTAAAACGATTCGGTAAATTTAATTTAATTTATTTGAGTGCTTTTGAATGTTTTAAATTTACATTTTTATTTTATGGGATCAAAAATCAAATTGAATTCGAATTTGTAAAGTTCATTACAAAGACGACAATTAATCGACTAGGTACCGTTTTAGGGCGTTGTGGGGGTGCTAATCCTTCCTTGCACGTAATCGACTCCCGAACTCAGATTTTGGTAACGCAGACCTTAATTTGTTGTTTTAATTAAAATTAATTTTTATTTAAAATAACAAGCATTTTTGGGTGC